TATTATTATTATTATTATTATTATTATTATTATTATTATTATTATTAGTGTCAAGAAAAGAAGGACGTGCTGTGTTCTCGCTTCACGCAGGAAGTATAAGTAGAAGAGTAGAGGTTAAAGATTTGACTTTTTTCCATTTCAATTTACCTCCTGGCCTATAGGTGGCGCTAATAAACTGCTAGCTGTCCTTTTACCTCTTTACTTCCGGGGTATTCGGTCGTTGGAGCGTCGCGGTAGTCATGTTTTTGCGTTCGTGATACTTTTCGGGGAGCGTGCTTTGTTTACTGAAAAAAGGGATATTTTCCGCTTCTTTCTAATATTGCTTTATTTTTACCGCCACAATGACTGAGGTAAGAAGATATTTGAAGTCCGTTTTTTGTCTTTTTTGTGCTTCCGCCCGCCCGGCAGACACATAGCCCCGCTCGGCTAATAACTGCAACCACACGCTTATGGTTTTGTTTGCATTACACATAGTAAAAAGTAATTACTCCCAAAGTTTCCCGTGATTGCACTCGTTTAAAACACACGTTTTACTATTTATTATCATCTACAGGATGTTCAGAAGCACTCAGTCCACACTCTGGTCTTCAGATCTCTTAAAAGGACTCATGATATGTTTGTGTCTGATCACGCCAAGTCCATCTCGCTGGATGATGAAAGGTAAACGTCACAGTGTTACCTTCTAATGATTTGAAGTTGTGTTTGGGGGTAAATTAAATTCACATAGCAAGCTCTAATGTCATGTGAAATTGTTGTAGAGGTTTTATTGACCAATTTTGTACTAGCGCTTTGTATTGATATTGCTCGCTAGTCCAGATAAATGAGGAGGGTTGCCTCAGGAAGGGCATCTCATGTAAATAAAAAAAAATCTTTGCCAATAGTTAGACCTACTATCATTTATGGTTTGGAGAGATTGGCAATTACAAAAAACAGGAGCTGATGCTGGTGGTGGCAGAGCTGAAGAATCTTTTCATTGGGCGTGACTGGGGCGGATAAAAATGAGTATATTGCAGGGAGATCGCAGGTCAAGTACTTTGAAGACAGAGAGCTAGATGTAGAGAAATAAGGCGGAGATGTTTTGGACATGTGCAGAGGAGGGTTTGGACAAAGGGTGTTTAAGATTGACCTCCCAAGCAGGAGAGAAAGACGAAGGAGGACATGCAGAGTGTTTGACACAGGACGATGTTCAGGATAGGGTGAGAAGGAGGCATATGTTCTGCTGTTGTTAGGGAGCAGTCAAAAAATTTGTAGCTGCAACACTAAAGAGCATCAATTTGTCAGGAGATTATTTTCAGTTTACCAACAACTCTTTTGTCTGTAAATTTATACTGACATTATGGTAATAAGTAAGAAGTTAAAGCTCAATCAATTTCCTGCTCAAAGAAACAGAAATCTCTGCTGCTGAATCCCAGGACGTAAATTATATCTACTTTAATACGCCAGCAAAAACTTCAGGATATTTACTGTGTGTTGTTCATGTGTTTGAATATCATTATGCTAATTTAATTAAACATATTAGATGTTTTAAGGGGAAATGCATCATTATGTCATCTGCTTGCAGCCACAAGTTGAAGATGGGGGTTAAACTGAAAGCAGACTACGGTGCAGTGTTACACCTGCCCATCCTGAGGGAAGGGAAAGACAGAGACTCACACCTTTCGGGCAGCATGGAAGGCCACCAGAACTAC